CATGTGTGCATGTTGCGTGCATGTGCATGTGTGCATGTTTGCGTGCATGTGTGCATGTTTGCGTGCATGTGTGCATGTTTGCGTGCATGTGTGCATGTTTGCGTGCATGTGTGCATGTTTGCGTGCATGTGTGCATGTTTTGCGTGCATGTGTGCATGTTTGCGTGCATGTGTGCATGTTTGCGTGCATGTGTGCATGTTTGCGTGCATGTGTGCATGTTTGCGTGCATGTGTGCATGTTTGCGTGCATGTGTGCATGTTTGCGTGCATGTGTGCATGTTTGCGTGCATGGTGCATGTTTGCGTGCATGTGTGCATGTTTGCGTGCATGTGTGCATGTTTGCGTGCATGTGTGCATGTTTGCGTGCATGTGTGCATGTTTGCGTGCATGTGTGCATGTTTGCGTGCATGTGTGCATGTTTGCGTGCATGTGTGCATGTTTGCGTGCATGTGTGCATGTTTGCGTGCATGTGTGCATGTTTGCGTGCATGTGTGCATGTTTGCGTGCATGTGTGCATGTTTGCGTGCATGTGTGCATGTTTGCGTGCATGTGTGCATGTTTGCGTGCATGTGTGCATGTTTGCGTGCATGTGTGCATGTTTGCGTGCATGTGTGCATGTTTGCGTGCATGTGTGCATGTTTGCGTGCATGTGTGCATGTTTGCGTGCATGTGTGCATGTTTGCGTGCATGTGTGCATGTTTGCGTGCATGTGTGCATGTTTGCGTGCATGTGTGCATGTTTGCGTGCATGTGTGCATGTTTGCGTGCATGTGTGCATGTTTGCGTGCATGTGTGCATGTTTGCGTGCATGTGTGCATGTTTGCGTGCATGTGTGCATGTTTGCGTGCATGTGTGCATGTTTGCGTGCATGTGTGCATGTTTGCGTGCATGTGTGCATGTTTGCGTGCATGTGTGCATGTTTGCGTGCATGTGTGCATGTTTGCGTGCATGTGTGCATGTTTGCGTGCATGTGTGCATGTTTGCGTGCATGTGTGCATGTTTGCGTGCATGTGTGCATGTTTGCGTGCATGTGTGCATGTTTGCGTGCATGTGTGCATGTTTGCGTGCATGTGTGCATGTTTGCGTGCATGTGTGCATGTTTGCGTGCATGTGTGCATGTTTGCGTGCATGTGTGCATGTTTGCGTGCATGTGTGCATGTTTGCGTGCATGTGTGCATGTTTGCGTGCATGTGTGCATGTTTGCGTGCATGTGTGCATGTTTGCGTGCATGTGTGCATGTTTGCGTGCATGTGTGCATGTTTGCGTGCATGTGTGCATGTTTGCGTGCATGTGTGCATGTTTGCGTGCATGTGTGCATGTTTGCGTGCATGTGTGCATGTTTGCGTGCATGTGTGCATGTTTGCGTGCATGTGTGCATGTTTGCGTGCATGTGTGCATGTTTGCGTGCATGTGTGCATGTTTGCGTGCATGTGTGCATGTTTGCGTGCATGTGTGCATGTTTGCGTGCATGTGTGCATGTTTGCGTGCATGTGTGCATGTTTGCGTGCATGTGTGCATGTTTGCGTGCATGTGTGCATGTTTGCGTGCATGTGTGCATGTTTGCGTGCATGTGTGCATGTTTGCGTGCATGTGTGCATGTTTGCGTGCATGTGTGCATGTTTGCGTGCATGTGTGCATGTTTGCGTGCATGTGTGCATGTTTGCGTGCATGTGGTGCATGTTTGCGTGCATGTGTGCATGTTTGCGTGCATGTGTGCATGTTTGCGTGCATGTGTGCATGTTTGCGTGCATGTGTGCATGTTTGCGTGCATGTGTGCATGTTTGCGTGCATGTGTGCATGTTTGCGTGCATGTGTGCATGTTTGCGTGCATGTGTGCATGTTTGCGTGCATGTGTGCATGTTTGCGTGCATGTGTGCATGTTTGCGTGCATGTGTGCATGTTTGCGTGCATGTGTGCATGTTTGCGTGCATGTGTGCATGTTTGCGTGCATGTGTGCATGTTTGCGTGCATGTGTGCATGTTTGCGTGCATGTGTGCATGTTTGCGTGCATGTGTGCATGTTTGCGTGCATGTGTGCATGTTTGCGTGCATGTGTGCATGTTTGCGTGCATGTGTGCATGTTTGCGTGCATGTGTGCATGTTTGCGTGCATGTGTGCATGTTTGCGTGCATGTGTGCATGTTTGCGTGCATGTGTGCATGTTTGCGTGCATGTGTGCATGTTTGGCGTGCATGTGTGCATGTTTGCGTGCATGTGTGCATGTTTGCGTGCATGTGTGCATGTTTGCGTGCATGTGTGCATGTTTGCGTGCATGTGTGCATGTTTGCGTGCATGTGTGCATGTTTGCGTGCATGTGTGCATGTTTGCGTGCATGTGTGCATGTTTGCGTGCATGTGTGCATGTTTGCGTGCATGTGTGCATGTTTGCGTGCATGTGTGCATGTTTGCGTGCATGTGTGCATGTTTGCGTGCATGTGTGCATGTTTGCGTGCATGTGTGCATGTTTGCGTGCATGTGTGCATGTTTGCGTGCATGTGTGCATGTTTGCGTGCATGTGTGCATGTTTGCGTGCATGTGTGGCATGTTTGCGTGCATGTGTGCATGTTTGCGTGCATGTGTGCATGTTGCGTGCATGTGTGCATGTTTGCGTGCATGTGTGCATGTTTGCGTGCATGTGTGCATGTTTGCGTGCATGTGTGCATGTTTGCGTGCATGTGTGCATGTTTGCGTGCATGTGTGCATGTTTGCGTGCATGTGTGCATGTTTGCGTGCATGTGTGCATGTTTGCGTGCATGTGTGCATGTTTGCGTGCATGTGTGCATGTTTGCGTGCATGTGTGCATGTTTGCGTGCATGTGTGCATGTTTGCGTGCATGTGTGCATGTTTGCGTGCATGTGTGCATGTTTGCGTGCATGTGTGCATGTTTGCGTGCATGTGTGCATGTTTGCGTGCATGTGTGCATGTTTGCGTGCATGTGTGCATGTTTGCGTGCATGTGGTGCATGTTTGCGTGCATGTGTGCATGTTGCGTGCATGTGTGCATGTTTGCGTGCATGTGTGCATGTTTGCGTGCATGTGTGCATGTTTGCGTGCATGTGTGCATGTTTGCGTGCATGTGTGCATGTTTGCGTGCATGTGTGCATGTTTGCGTGCATGTGTGCATGTTTGCGTGCATGTGTGCATGTTTGCGTGCATGTGTGCATGTTTGCGTGCATGTGTGCATGTTTGCGTGCATGTGTGCATGTTTGCGTGCATGTGTGCATGTTTGCGTGCATGTGTGCATGTTTGCGTGCATGTGTGCATGTTTGCGTGCATGTGTGCATGTTTGCGTGCATGTGTGCATGTTTGCGTGCATGTGTGCATGTTTGCGTGCATGTGTGCATGTTTGCGTGCATGTGTGCATGTTGCGTGCATGTGTGCATGTTTGCGTGCATGTGTGCATGTTTGCGTGCATGTGTGCATGTTTGCGTGCATGTGTGCATGTTTGCGTGCATGTGTGCATGTTTGCGTGCATGTGTGCATGTTTGCGTGCATGTGTGCATGTTTGCGTGCATGTGTGCATGTTTGCGTGCATGTGTGCATGTTTGCGTGCATGTGTGCATGTTTGCGTGCATGTGTGCATGTTTGCGTGCATGTGTGCATGTTTGCGTGCATGTGTGCATGTTTGCGTGCATGTGTGCATGTTTGCGTGCATGTGTGCATGTTTGCGTGCATGTGTGCATGTTTGCGTGCATGTGTGCATGTTTGCGTGCATGTGTGCATGTTTGCGTGCATGTGTGCATGTTTGCGTGCATGTGTGCATGTTTGCGTGCATGTGTGCATGTTTGCGTGCATGTGTGCATGTTTGCGTGCATGTGTGCATGTTTGCGTGCATGTGTGCATGTTTGCGTGCATGTGTGCATGTTTGCGTGCATGTGTGCATGTTTGCGTGCATGTGTGCATGTTTGCGTGCATGTGTGCATGTTTGCGTGCATGTGTGCATGTTTGCGTGCATGTGTGCATGTTTGCGTGCATGTGTGCATGTTTGCGTGCATGTGTGCATGTTTGCGTGCATGTGTGCATGTTTGCGTGCATGTGTGCATGTTTGCGTGCATGTGTGCATGTTTGCGTGCATGTGTGCATGTTTGCGTGCATGTGTGCATGTTTGCGTGCATGTGTGCATGTTTGCGTGCATGTGTGCATGTTTGCGTGCATGTGTGCATGTTGGTGCATGTGCATGTTTGCGTGCATGTGTGCATGTTTGCGTGCATGTGTGCATGTTTGCGTGCATGTGTGCATGTTTGCGTGCATGTGTGCATGTTTGCGTGCATGTGTGCATGTTTGCGTGCATGTGTGCATGTTTGCGTGCATGTGTGCATGTTTGCGTGCATGTGTGCATGTTTGCGTGCATGTGTGCATGTAATCACACGTGGCAACCATGCAATGCCATCATGACCCCCTTCCTCAGTTCAGCCACATAGTCAAGTGAGTGCATCTGCCTCCTCTTCCTTCTCTCTTTTGTAAAAACTCGATTTGATTGTAAGCACCTGCTCTCCCTTGCTTGTCTCTCTGACAAGTGCATGTGTGTCTGTGAGTGTGAGGCTGCCTCTGTGTGTGTGAGTGTGTGTGTGTGTGTGTGTGTGTGAGTGTGTGTGTGTGTGTGTGTGTGAGTGTGTGTGTGTGTGTGGTTTGTGTGTGTCTATGTCTGTTTGTGTGACGTGTGTGTGTTTCTGTGTGTGCGGGGGGATCCCACGTCCTTTCTTGAACAATGCTCCCTCCCACCCGGCCCCCCACCCGCCCATCATCCGACCCGCCTTTCCTCCTGTCTCGCCACAGCAGTCTAGCATTCAACACACCATTCCCACAGAACCATTATTGTCTCTCTTCTGTCGCCCCATTCTTCCTTTGTTTGCCCTCTACCAGATAATTCAGCCCAAAACCCTGAACTATTAAACTTCAACCCTCAAACCCAGAACCCCGAATCCGATATCTTGAACCCTAAACTCATGTGTTCCTGAAGTTATGTTCCTACTTTCCCTCTCTCACCACCAGACATCCGGGCCACCATGCGCCAGCTAAGCGCATCCCCTCACGCTCTCCTGCTGAGTCAGCACCTGGTGTTGCTGACTCACAGCAGCCATCCACGGAGTCAGGAGTGAAGTCATCTGAGTCAGAAGCGATTTCAGCTGAGTCAGCAACCACTGGTCGTACCAAGGATCTGCCTGAAACAGCACCGATACCAGATCCTACCCATTCCTCTAGAAGCAAAGATGCTGAAATTGGTACCACTGCTGAACCTGCTGCAACTGCTGATGCTGCCACAACCACTGATGCTGCCACAACCACTGATGCTGCCACGACCACTGATGCTGCCACAACCACTGATGCTGCCACAACCACTGATGCTGCCACAACCACTGATGCTGCCACAACCACTGATGCTGCCACAACCACTGATGCTGCCACAACCACTGATGCTGCCACAACCACTGATGCTGCCACAGCCACTGATGCTGCCACAACCACTGATGCTGCCACAACCACTGATGCTGCAACAACCACTGATGCTGCAACAGCTTCTGATGCTGCTGCTACAACTTCTGATGCTGCAACAACTTCTGATGCTGCAACAACTGCTGATGCTGCTACAACCTCGGATGCTGTTGCAACCACTGATGCTGCTACAGCTAATAATGTTGCTTCTGCCACTGATGCTGTCACTGTAACTGATGCTGCTTCAACGGCTGCTGAAGTTCCTGCAATCACTGATGCTGCTTCAACCGGATCCTCCTCTCCCCCCTCTCCCTCCGCCCTCCTCTCTCACCTCCTGCATATCCGCCAATCCCGTGACCTCCTCTATTCTGATTGGCTGAGAAATTCTGTGTTGGTGGCAGGGGGGAGGGTGGGGAGGAGGGAAGGGGATGAGGGTAGGGAGAGGGGGAGAGGGGGCGGGGGTGTGGAGGGAGGTTCAGGCGTTATAAGGAAGAATAAAGCTGACGAGGACCATCCTATAGCAGTCATCCTTAATGTGGCTAAGGAGGTATGTTATATTCTTCATGCGCATGTTATAATGGAACGGAACTCCTTATATGGGGTATACAGTATACTGCTGCCTGTAAAGTAGATTACTTCTGTTCTTGTTCTATATTGTTTTCAATCCATGACATGATTTGCAATTAGCGCCGGTGTTGCACTCTCCCACTCTCCTTATGTCTCATCCAATCAACTCGAAGACAAATTACCCTCTTTTTCTCCATTTATTTTCTGCCGATTCCCCCTCGTGCCTTCCAGGAAATTTCTCTCCACATCCCCACGGTCTTTGTAAACGGTTCTCTCCCGAGCCAGTCCCCCAATTCCGCCTGGGCAGAAGTGGGGGGAAGGATGCGCGCATGGGGGGAGGCAGGGGAGGCGGAGGGGAAGCAACAGGGGGTGATGGGGGGGCTTGGCGTTGGGGGGGAAGGGGAGGAAGGAGGAGGAGAAAGAGGAGGGGGGAGAGGAGGGGACGCGGAAGGGAGGCCGGGGAGGAGGAGCAGATGGGGAAGGAAAGAGGGGAGCATGATAGGAAGAAGTAGAAGAATGCCTAAGGGAACCAAGGAGGCAGCAGGGAGATGTATGGCATGGCTCATGGAACACGATAGGATCATTCTGATGTGTGCTGAAGCCTTGCAGTTGCATCGACAGCGGTCTATTCAGCAACGAAAAGGACTCGACTCGGCTTTTCCCTCCTCCTCCTCCTCCTCCTCCTCCTCCTCCTCCTCCTCCTCCTCCTCCTCCTCCTCCTCCTCCTCCTCCTCCTCCTCCTCCTCCTCTCACCCCCCTCGTCACATAAGGCTGCACCATCGGGTTCGGTACCTACGCTCCCTCCTCTCCTCCCCTCCCTGCAGATTTCCCCTGCCCCGCCTGCTGCTTTCCCAAAAGGAGAGAGCCGAAGAGGCGTTGCAGAGGTGGGAGGAGGAGGGGAGAGGGGGAGGGAGGGGAAAGGCTAATCGCCACAGTGGGAGTAGGAGTGGGAGTGGGAAGGGCAGTAGCAGAAGGGTAAACCCTGGCACTCGTGACACAGATGCACCCGAAGTCACACAGACAAATAATCGTAGCAGCAGCAGCAGCAGCAACTCGTGGTGGTGCAGTGGAAAGGAGACTGGGAGGGCTGCACGCACCTGCATGGGCTTCCGAGCCTCTTCCCCCCTCGCCAGACTCTCCCCTCACCTCTTCCCCTCCTCCCCTCCTGCCGTCTCTTTCCTCTTGCAGTACTTTCGGCAGCCGGGTATGATTCCGAGTCTAGTTGGACCGCCTATGGAGTGTGCTAAGGCGGATGTGGGGCATGGGGTGGGGGGCGGGGTGGGGAAAGAGGTGGGGGAAACGAAGGCGGAGGGGGCAGGGGTGGGGGATGAGGTGGGGGAAAGCAGAGGAGAAAGGGAGGGAGGAAGGGGGCCGGGGGAGGGGGGTTATTACCCTGTGGTTGAGCTGATAGCGAATGTGGATGAGGCGAGTGCATGGAGGGAATGGAAGGAACAATGGTGTGCTACGGCTCCTTGCTCAGGAGAACAAACAGGTGGCACGGATTCTGGTGACGGCAGCAGCAGCAGCAGCGGTGGTGGTGATGGGGACAAGTTCAAGAATGGCCGTTTCCTTAGGGTGGTATTCAACCACAACGCCCACGAAATAAGGGGGTACAACGCGGCCGCCCGCACTGCCCGGGGAACCACAATAGCGCTCCTGCAAGACGATGACATCCTGCCCCCCGACTGCCGTTGGATCTGGAGGATCCTACGGCTGATGAAGCAGCAGCCGGCTGTAGCAGCAGTGGGTTACCGCACGGGAAGAGTGGACATGAACGGGCCGTTATGGGGAGAAATCAATTCCTGGTATCGGCAACCTTATGAAATATTTTCACACCCAAGCCAGGACAGGAGGACTGGTATCAGGAGTTACTTTGCCGGGGTGTTGGATTTTGCACCGTTTGTGATGCGGAGGGATAAGTATTTGCTGCTGGGGGGGTTGGATGAGGGGGAGGCGCCGAGGGGGCAGAGTGCAATCATGGCGGACTGGCAGATGACGTTTCGGGCGTGGTTTGCCGGCATGCAGGTGGGTTTGCCGGCATGCAGGTGGGTTTGCCGGCATGCAGGTGGGTTTGCCGGCATGCAGGTGGGTTTGACGACTTGCTGGTTGGTTTGCCGGCATGCAGGTGGGTTTGACGGCTTGCTGGTTGGTTTGCCGGCATGCAGGTGGGTTTGATGGCTTGCACGTGGAGTTTGGCTGCTTGCAAGTAGCTTTTCAGTTTTGAGACGTCGCAAAAATAGTTTCATCCAGAACTCCGCTATTTTTTTCTGTTCTCCTGCATGTTATAACTTAGCTAGAGTGGCCGCCGTGTTTTCGTGAATGGGGAGATGATGACGTGGATGGGGAGATGATGACGTGGATGGGGAGATGATGGCGTGTATGGGGAGATGAGGACATGTATGGGGAGATGAGGACATGTATGGGGAGATGAGGACATGGATGGGGAGATGAGGACATGGATGGGGAGATGATGACATGGATGGGGAGATGATGGCATGGATGGGGAGATGATGACATGGATGGGGAGATGATGGCATGGATGGGGAGATGAGGACATGGATGGGGAGATGATGCTTCACAGTGATGTAGGTGCATTTGTACCTGTGTTTGTGCATGAAAGTGCATGTGTTGGGATCTGTGAGTGTATGGATATTTGTGTGCATGCATTTGTACATGTGTACGCATATGTAGCTAGAGCATACTTGTCTTGCTCTCTCTCGTCTCTTTCCTTGCATGCATGCACCCAACCCACCCCCACCCACTCATACACAACAAGTGCCTGTCTCGCCATCCCGTCCCTCCAAAAATGAAAGCCACCTTCCCCACAATTTCGCTCTAACAAGTGTGTGTTCGCCCTCTGTGCCTTTCCTGCATCCTTCCCTGTTTCCATCCATGCATGCATGCACGTGTACCCATCCCACACCCCACCAGCTCATGCATATGAATTGGCCTCCCGATCTAGGAATCGCGCATGGAGCAGAGGGCGGAACACACACGGGTGTCAGCTTCAGTTACCGCATCATGTACCAGGATATGAATTTCCGCAAGCTTATCGAGAATTATGTGAATCGTCTGGATGCGCAGCAGCAGGCTGAGGTTAGGCGCATGAACCGAGCACTTCAAACACTTGACCCATGGGAGTGAACCTTGGACTTCACCTGGGAGTTAATATGAGCTGTACGCTTTATTGGAAAGAAAGGATGCATGATGTGGCATATGCCATGGTTGGCCTGAGGTTGCTCAAAGGTTTTAGGTTGGAGAAATGGTTTTTATCACTGCAAGCGGTATTGTATACCACGTTCCCCTCCGCATTTTGGCGCATTCCTTGCCCCTCTTGAAGGTAGCACCAGGGCCGGGGTTGTGCTCACGAATGCTAGAGTGCATTCACAAAGGCGTGCACGTCGCACAGAAAGATGTCGCAACGCAACTTTTCAACAGCTTATGGGGATCCAAGTGTTTCCGACGCCCACCCTCTATGTGATTGGCTTAGGGCGTATCCAGGTTCGGGTCATGTGCACTGTTCCGGGCATGCGTGATTTGCGGATGCCTCAAACAACACAAAACACCACTTTGGGTCCAGGGACTCCATGCGACCCCCAAACTGGCGCGTGGGTTTCCCCGCCTAAACTTCGGGCCCCACAACAGTCGCATCCAATTGAGACGCGCCATTCCATGACACACGAACTCTTTCACCCGGTTGAGCGACACTCACCCCACCCTCATCTCCGTCAAAATTCCCGGTGGGAAAAGTGACATGCAGATCTGCGCGGCTCCAAATCCCAAGCCAACCACACACCCCTCTTGCAACATCCCCACGCTAGGGTTTCAGCACTTGGACAATCACAACAAGCATGAGGAAACAGATCTCGCTCACAAGTGTTCCCGAGCTTCCACACTAGCACGCTATCTATGTTTATAGCGGCTCCATAGTAAAGCAATGCCTCCACGCCGAAGCGCACGCGGCAAGGGAAAGGAGAAAATTAGCGACGATGAACCGATGGAAGACCCCCTGTATGTCGCATTGATGAAGGAGCAGCAAAAGCAGGGGAAGCCGTCCCCATCCATCAAGCGTATTGCTAAGGCAAAACGCGACTCTGCAAGCGCCAGCACTAGCAGCGGTCCCCGGCATGACTACAACGAAACTGAGGGCGACACGGACGTCAGCGACGACAAGCTTGAGGAGATCGTGTCGGAATCGGACAGTGATGCCGATTCCGACAACTACACGGACGGCAGTGACGACGAAGTGGAAGATTCGGACGGTGGCGAAGAAGGAAGCGGTGACGACCGTAGCACACGCCGGTCGAAGAAGGAGAAGCGCCCGCCGGCATCGCGCAACAAGCGACAGTGGTCGGACGCTGAGCTGACATCACTCGCGGCCGCCCGTTGGAACACGAAGGACGACCTGAAAGCGATGCTAGGGAAGCAAGGGAGCCAGTACTGGAAGAAGCTGCGAGCTCACATGGTTGAGAGGGATGCCACGTGGGACCGCGATGAGGGGCAGATGTCGAATGCGTGGAAACGCCTCGAGAAAAAGTACCTGAAAACGAAACGGGGGGGGACGCAGAGTGGGGGGAAAGCAATCAAGAAGAATCCGTGGTGGGAATACGTGTATCATCTGAAGAAACACTCGGCGAAAGCCAAGGCCCACGCACTGGACGGAAGAGGCGCCGCTAACGTTGACGTCCCTGCGTACGCTACCGTGCCCGGCACCAACGACGGGGAGACCTCGGCTCCTCCCTCGCAGGGACGTCAGTGTGGTAATTGATGTGGAGTGGCATTACAAGGTGAGTTGTTCCTCAGTAAGTGCACGGTTTCTAAAATGACATTGTTCCAATGATTCAATGCTTGCGTTGTGACTGCCAGGAACAACATTAATGCCATGCGCTTAAATTCTATATTTCACTGACAAGAATACAGACAATATCAAAGCCGCCTTATTGCCATACGTCCCTACACCCATCCCTACAGATGCTGGAGTCACACCACCACCCAAACGAAGGCGGATAGACGAAACCGCCACAATGGCAGCCGCAAAGCTTGTGAGCGACGCCATTAACTCCACCAACGCGATGGCGTTGCGCCAGCTACAAGACTCAACGCATCTACTTGTCCCCCCATGAACATGGCGGCGATTCAGGCTGGCTTACAACTGCAGATGGCCAGTCCGCCCGTACCACCTGCGGCGCCCTCAACTACGCCTCCACCAGCACCGCCTGCAGACGCATGCGACGCCAACATGGCGGAGTCGGAGGATGTGGCGGAGCAGCACGAGCCTTAGCACGCGGACTTTGACACACGGTGACGCCGGAGGTAAGCGCGATGGATGTGCTTGCCGAAGTGGTGCCAGCGCGTGCGCAGATCGGCGAGCGTAGGGTTGTCTAGGCTCCGCCACTAGTACTTATCCATGCCGCTCCTCGTCCAGCAGCCGTTTGGGGTTCCAGCCCATATATAGCGGCGGGGTTGTTCGTTTTCATCCTGGGCATGCTAACGGTCTGCAGCATGTTGTGCAGGATGATGATGCAGGCCGTCCCTGCACACACGCGCCAGAGCTTGCTCTCGTGCCTGCGCGCGAAGAGCCTCCAGCGTCCCTTCAGTACGCCAATCGTGCGCTCGACCACCATGCGCGTAGCAGACTAGACGTAGTTGTACGTCTGCTCCCACTTCTTCATCAGGCGTCGTCGTGGAGCATGAAGGGGGGTGAGCATGTAGGACTTCAGAGGGTAGGCCGCATCCCCCACAAGCTGATAGGGGCCGATTTCCCCACTCTCTAGCCTGCAATGAAGATCTGATGTTGAGAACACACCTTGATCATACATTGAGCCAGGATTGCCAACCATATAATCCCAGATGACACCATTTGAATCACAAGTAACTTGAAGTTGCACGTGTCAAAATGTTATAATGCTTATATTGTGTAGGTTGTAGTGGGGTAGCCCATAAGGGGTACAACCCAATTAGGGTTAGTACTTGTACCAACTTTCTGCTCAGTGCATTCATTCTCCTTCAGTATTCTGACATGGTTTCAGAGCAAGTCCGTTCTAGGACCGATTTTTTTTAGGGCCCACCATAGAGCGCTGCCCCACTAGCTGCCCTGCCGCCCTGCCCTAACTTTTGCGCCACCCTGCTGGCCGTTGTGCCGCCCTTAGCTGCCCGCGCGCCGCCCTTTGCAGCCCGTCACGCCGCCCTTTGCAGCCCGCGTGCCACCTTTAGCAGCCCGTGCGCCGCCCATGCAGCCCGCTCGCCGCCCCTGCAGCCCGCGCGCCGCCTTTAGCAGCCCGCGCGCCGCCCCTGCAGCCCGCTCGCCGCCCCTGCAGCCCGCTCGCCGCCCCTGCATCCCGCTCGCCACCCGTTTGCGGCCCGCTTGCCGCCCCTTGCAGCCTGCGCGCCGCCCTCTGCCAGCCCGCTCGCCGCCCTTTTGGAGCCCGTTCGCCGCCCCTTGCAGCCCGCGCGCCGCCCTGTTGCCCTGCTTGTGCCACCCTGCTTGCGCCGCCCTGCTGCCCTGCTTGCGCCGCCTCGCTTCTGCCCACCCTGCTGCGCGCAGCCCTACTGGCCGGCGCCCTCCTGCCCGGGCCGCCTTGCTGCTACCCGCCCTGCTGTGCGCCGCCTTGCTGGCCGCCCTAGCTGTGCGCTGCCCTGCCCTGCCCTGCGTGCTTCCCTAGTTCTCGCGCGCCGCCCTGCCTGCGTGCTGCTCTGCTGGCCGTGCGCCACCCTGCTCTGCCCACTATGGCTTCTCTCAGTGTACTCACCTTCGATCATGAGGGCCGTCCGATCCAGTTCGATACATGGCTCGACGACTTACAGCTGTACCTACTGAGCGATTCTAGAGACAGTGTTTAGTTGTTTGACCACACGTCTGGAGCCTCTCTCGCCCCTCCCGCCACAGCTGACAGCGCGACTCACTCATAGTGGCTTACCCATGACGCTGCTGCTCGCTTAGCCGTTTGCAACCACCTGCCATTAGCCGAACGCGCTCACTTTGGCCAGCACAAGACTGCTAAAGCCCTGTACGACGATGTAGTCACTCGTTACTCCTCCCCTGCCACTGCTACTCTGGGCCGCCTTATACTGCCCTACCTGTTTCCCGGGCTGTCCGCCTTTGCCACAGTCGAGGACCTCGTTACCCACCTCCGCACTAGCGACGCTCGCTAACGCGCTGCCCTCCCAGCAGATTTCCTTGACAGGAACCCGCCCCCGATGTACATCACTCTCTACTTCATAGTCACCCGCCTCCCTGACTCTCTTCGCGCTGTCAGGGACCACTTTCTCGCACTTGACCCCACAGACCTCACTGTCGACCTGCTCGAGAAGCACCTCCTTGCAACTGAGACTAGCGTAATCACCGTAGGTGCTGCTCGTGGCACTCCTCGCACACCCTTCTTTGAGGGGTGTTCCCCCTCCCCCCTTGCCCCCTCCTACGCTTCTGCTGCTGCTGTTGATATCCTTGGTGCTGAGGATGTCGGGGCGGCTTCTGCTCTTAGTGGGAAGCGCCGCAGCAGCAAGGGCAAGGGTGGCAGGGGTGGTGGCGGTGGCAGCGGGGGTGGTGGTGGTGGCGGCAATGGAGGTGGTGGAGGTAGCGGAGGTGGTGGCAGCAGTGGGAGTGGTGGCGGGGGTGGGGGCTTCGGTGGCGGTAGTGGTGGCGGCGGTGGGGGTGGCGATAGTGGCGGCAGTGGGAGTGGTGGCAGTCGGGGTGGAGATATTCAGAGGGGAGGTTCTGGCGGTGGTCAGAGGCAGCAGCAGCAGCGTCGGAGCGAGACCCCTTCGCCCCAGCAGCTTTGTGAGTGGTTTGCTCAGCGTAGGGCGTCTGGGGGTAGTGTTCGCTGCCCGTATATCATACGCACGGGTGACCGTGCTGGTCAGACATGCGGGAAGTTTCATATCAGCACCGCTGCTTCTCCCGCCTAGATGACGCTTGGCGCGCAGAGTTTGGTGACGAGGCTAAGAGCCCCCGCTGGGCAGAGCTGCTTAGGTCTGGAGTTGATATCTTTGTTGTCATGTATGCCTTGTCTGTTAGTGCTGAGGGCGACTGTTACCTATGTGTGCCACTCGACCCGGGTATAGAGGCTGCTGCTCTAGGTGCTAGTGGTACTGCGCCTGCTGAGGCCTTGCACACTTTTACGCTTGACTCAGGTGCTTCCCGCTGTTTCTTTCACGACAGTACCACCCTCACTCCTCTCTCTACACATGTACCGGTCATACTCGCTGACCCCTCAGGGGGCCCAGTTCTTGTCCGTTCCTCCACTATTCTCACGTGTCCGGCGGTTCCGTGCGGCTCACTGTCAGGTCTTCACCTCCCCTCGTTCTCTACAAACTTGGTGAGTACTGCTGCCCTCCTGGATGGGATGGTCACTATCACCACTCCTGGGGGTCAGCGTGTGTCGATCTGCACGTGTACACGGACGGGCCGTCACCTGGCCACGTTCACCCGTCGGCCTGGGTCGAGTCCCGACACACTGACTACCGAGCCTCCTCAAGTAGCTGCGTCTGCCTAGGTGTCCGCGTCAGGTCCGGTAGCACTCCCCTGCTCGTGTCGCCTCCTGTCGCACCAGACTCTTCTGTGGCACCACCGCCTTGGTCACCCCTCCCTGCCACGCCTTCGTGGCATGCACTCCCGTCTCCTTGTTTCTGGTCTTCCCAGGTCTCATCCTCCCCTCCCGCCCTCGCCTGCCCCGCCCTGCCTTCCATGCGTCGAGGGGTGGCAGCGCACCGCACCTCACTCCTCCTCGTTTCCCCCGACGACTGCTCCCCTGCAGACTCTCCACATGGACGTGTGGGGCCCAGCCCGCGTCAGTGGTCATGAGCGCAAGTGCTACTTCCTGCTGGTTGTTCACGACTACACGTGTTACACCACGGTCTTCCCCTTGCGCAGCAAGGGTGAGGTCCCTGATGTCTTGATCCCTTGGATCCGTGCAGTCCGTCTCCAGCTCCACGAGCGCTTCCGCGAGGACCATCCTGTCCTGCGTCTGCACTCTGACAGAGGTGGTGAGTTCTCCTCCGACCTCTTGCGGGGCTTTTGTCGTGGGGAGGGCATCCTCCACTCGTTCACGCTTCCGGCCTCCCCGCAGCAAAATAGGGTTGCTGAGCACCGCATTGGCTTAGTCATGGAGGTGGCTCGTACCTACACGATCCATGCGGTTGCTCCCCATTTTCTGTGGTCGTTTGCGGTCCGGTACGGAGCGCATCAGCTCAACCTCTGGCCCCGTGTCTCCTTGCCGGAGACCTCGCCTACACTGTGTTGGACGGGGAAGATTGGCGATGCGTCGGTGTTCCGGATCTGGGGCTCTCGTGCCTTCGTTCGCGATACTTCCGCGGACAAGCTCTCCTCCCGCACTATTCCCTGCGTCTTCCTTGGCTTTCCCCCTGACCCGCCCGGCTGGCAGTTTTACCACCCCACCTCGCGCCGTGTCCTGTCCTCTCAGGACGTCACATTTGACGAGTCGGTTCCCTTTTACCGTCTCTTCCCCTACCGCACTGCCCCTCTCCCCCCCCCCCACCGCTCTTCCTTGCCCCACGTCCCCCTCCGGTACACCCCCTCCCCCCTCAGGGTCCTACTCCCTCAGGTGTATCTCTGGTAGACCCACTCCCCGGGATTGTGCCTGTCGAGGTCACTGTAGACTCAGGTTCTGCTTGAGGTGTTGCGTCTGGGGGTGCTGCGTCTGGGGGTGCTGCGTCTGGGGATGCTGAGCCTGCGAGTGCGGAGCCTGGGGGTGCTGAGCCTGAGGGTGCGGAGTCTGGGGGTGCTGAGCTTGGGGGTGCGGAGCCTGGGGGTACTGAGCTTGAGGGTGCGGAGCCTGGGGGTGCTGAGTTTGAGGGTGTGGAGTCTGGAGGTGCTGAGCCTCGGGGTATTGCGTCTGCCAGAGGTCCTACAGGTGCCTCGCCTCGACTGTCTCCCCGGCGGGAGCCTCTCTCATCGCAGCAGCTGCGCGAGTGGTTTGCTCAGCGCACACGTTTTAGGAGTGGCGCTGTAGGAGTTGGAGGCTCTCCCATTGGAGGCATTGGAGCTGGAGGCGTTAGAGCTTCTAGTCTTTGAGGTGCTGGAGTTACTGCTGGAGCTAGAGGTACCGGAGGGGCTGGAGCTGCTGGTCCACGAGGTGCTCGTACTAGGGGTACTGGAGCTGCCGGAGCTGGTGGTGTTGGAGGCACCAGAGCAGGAGGAGCTGGAGCTCGAGGCGCTAGAGCAGGAGACACTGGCGCTGGAGGCGCTGGAGCTGGAGACCCTGGAGCCGGAGGTGCTAGCGCTGGGGTTGCTCGAGCTGGCGGTACTGGTGCTGGGGGTACTGG